TTCTCGCTGGTTATGCCCTGTCGACCCTCGCGTCGCTCCGAGTCTTCCTGGAATCAAGTCAGTCGAGCACTACCCAGGAGAGTCAGTTCAAAGCAACTATGAGCAAAGCAGAAAAGTTCCATGGATGGTTCAGCAAGTACCTCGAGGAGTATGACTCGCCAATGTTTAAGGATCTTTCGCAAAGAAGTGCCTTCAAGTCCATAACACAGTCTGCTGCTCGCATTCGATCTTCTGGAAATGCTGAAAGAGGCACTGCGGAGAGCAAACTATTGCTGGATATCTTGGACGACGGTGGTGCAGATCACCAGCTTCTCAACGATTCTTCTCGGCAGCTAGCTCTCGGTCTTCTTTGTGGCGACTTTAGCATTCCTGCCTCAATCAAGGACGACATCATCGAATCTGACCATGATGCTGTAAAGCATTCTACGGCTGTATGGAAGAGCTGCGATGCAGAAAATCTGAGCGAAGAGTATCTAGCATGGGCAGGACGAGTTGTTGGGCGAGCCTTTTCGGCTTCCGGAGAGATTCCAGTCAATATTCTACGCGAATCACATCTTACTCGCTACCAACAAATAGCTCCAGGATCAAATGGCTCAGAGATGGGAATACTTTACCTGCTTCAGGACCTCACCTCAAATCCCGATTCTGTTACTGCTGGTCTTGCCGAAGCTGCTCTACGATCCATTGTCTCAGATGCCGCTATACTTGAGGATGAACCACTAACTGTAGCTTGTCAGAAGAGTCTAACAGAGTCTCTTTTAATAACTTCCCAATGGGGCTCGCACAGATCTCCCCCGTCTGACAAAGCCCCTGTTGCTCCTCCTTCTTCACCAGATCAGCAGGACGTGTGGTCTGTGGAAATCACTTCGAAAGAATGGCTCCCGAGCCTGAGCGCACACCTTGCCCAATGTGTTCCAGAGTCAATCATTCTCTCAGTCCTGGCCCCTATTCTCGCCAGAGTTGAGCACTTTGCGGAGAGCGCGTTTCCCTTCGTTGCTCATCTTGCGCTCTACTTTCCGATAAACCAGCAACACTCCCCCAAGCGTCCATTTTCTGTGGCGATCAAGGGCTGGCTGAAATGCACTGATCCTACAGCCAAAGAAAATCTAAAGCTACTCATCAACATGCTTCTGTATCTCAGGACACAGCAGTACCCCAAAGAATCTTCAATAGCTGACCGATCGTATTGGCTCGAGGTGGATTCCGCGATGGTTGCATCAACGGCGTCGCGATGCGGCATGTATAAGACCGCTTTGCTTTTCGCTGAGTATGTTACTCCTGAAACCTCGCGGTCCTCAAGAAGGTCCTCGGCAGCAAAGGAGGTGGATATGAGCGACACTCTCCTTACGATCTTTGAGAACATCGATGATCCAGATGCATACTATGGGCTACCCGAAGAACCCAGCCTTTCTAAGGTTGTCGCTCGGGTAGAATATGAGAATGATGGTCCCAGAAGTCTTGCATTTCGAGGCGCCATGTACGACAACCATATATTTTACGGAGATCCAATGGCTCAGTCAGACGAACAAGCTTTAGTCAGAGCCCTGGGTACACTTGGGTTGTCAGGACTCTCGAACTCACTTCTTCAGACACAACAAAACATTGAGTCATCCCCAGCTGCTCTCGAGGACACTTTCAATACTGCTAGGAAATTAGGGATTTGGAACCTTCCTGCTCCCTCAAGTGATCATCACGCGGTCACAGTATACAAAGCGTATCAAAGTATTTCTCAGGCAGCCGATATTGCGAATGTCCGAACAGCTGTGCATGAGGGCTTCAGTCGCACGATGAGAAGCTTGGCCGCCCTCGACCTGAACGCAACTTCATTGAGAAAACGACTTGGAGCTTTGGCATCCTTAACAGAACTTGATGACGTTATAGGGGTTTCTGACACTGCAGAGATGGATGGTCTCATCGAAAAATTCAAAACTCGAAGCGATTGGATGCGGAGCGGACTGTGAGTATCCGTTATTATTCGTAGAGCATGCTACTAATCATCATTAGGTACGGTAGTGTCAGCCAGATCTTGTCTTGCCGTGGGTCTACGATGAGCATGGTCAGTCAGCAGAATACCCTTCGAACAAATATCAAGCTTTCCGCGGCTGCTGCACGGCATATGGAGGTAGAAGCAATGATCACCGCATCTCAGATCTATCGTTATCACCAAGCGACACAAGAGAGCCTCAGAATATCCACTGGGCTCACCAAGCTCATCCCAACATGCGCCGCCTTAGACATTCATGTTGACGCAGCGGTCAACATCGAGACAGCTAATTCTCTCTGGGATTATGGTCAGATGAGCACATCCATCCGTATGCTCCAAGGCATCGATAGAGATGCTTCCCTCAAAAAGCAAACTCTGCCAGTCAGCCGATCTGACTTGCTTTCGAAGATTGGGTATCAGGTTTCTGTCGCTCGCCTTGAAGAGCCACATGACATTCAGAAAAACTACCTGGAACCTGCACTCAAGGAGCTCAAAGGCAAAGGCCAAGGCCGGCAAGCAGGTGCTGTATTCCATCAGTTTGCCATGTTCTGTGATCAACAACTGCAGGACCCAGATGGCCTGGAAGACCTGAAAAGACTTCAAAGTCTAAAGAAGGCCAAGGGCGATGAAGTGTCAGAACTGAAAACCCTAGTCAGCGGTACAAAGGATACTCAGCTGAAAACCAGATATTCACATGTCTTGAACAAGGAGAAGCAATGGCTGGATCTTGATGAGCAGGAACTGCGGCGAGTCGAGCAGACTCGCAGTGAATTCGTTCGGCTGAGTCTCGAGAACTACCTCCTATCTCTTATTGCCTCTGATGAACACAATAATGACGCCCTTCGTTTCACGGCTCTTTGGCTGGAGCGATCAGAAGAGGAGACTACTAACAAGGCGGTTATGCGACATTTGTCTGACGTGCCAACAAGAAAATTTGCTGGTCTCACCAATCAATTGACATCCCGACTGCAAGACCAGGACACCTCATTCCAGAAATTACTGTTGGAGCTGGTCTACAAAATCTGTGTAGACCATCCTTATCACGGGATGTATCAGATCTGGTCTGGAACCAAGGCAAAAGCGCAGCAGAAGGATGACGTAGCTGTTCTACGTGTCAGAGCAACAGATCGTGTTGCGAAACGCCTTGCCGAGACGCAATCTGTTGCCAACATTTGGCTCTCGATCGACAAGACAAGCAAATACTATCACGCTCTTGCCATGGACCGGAACCCGAATAGGTACAAGTCGGGTGCGAAGATCCCGCTCAAAGAGTCTTCGCCCGGGCACAACCTCATTAACTGCTTGATAAAATACCGGATTCCATCTCCAACTATGCACATCGAACTCTCCCATACAAAAGATTACTCAAAGGTCCCGATCATCTCCAAATTAGAGCCCACCATGACCATTGCTTCAGGCGTCAGTGCTCCCAAAATCATTACTGCCATTGGAAGCGATGGCGTGCGCTGCAAACAGCTTGTCAAAGGAGGACATGACGACTTGCGACAGGATGCTATCATGGAACAGGTCTTTTCGGCCGTATCGTCTCTGCTGAAGCTTCATAGGACGACTCAGCAGCGCAGCCTAGGAATCAGGACATACAAGGTATTGCCACTCACTGCATCTTCAGGCTTGATTGAATTCGTCCCCAATACGATCCCACTTCACGAGTTCTTGATGCCCGCCCATGAAAGATATTACCCAAGAGACTTGAAGGGCTCCCAATGTCGTAAGGAAATATTTGGGGTCCAAAGTCGGACGGTAGAAACTCGAATCAGCACCTATCGCAAGGTCACGGAGAAATTCCATCCAGTCATGAGATACTTCTTTATGGAACACTTCATGGATCCAGATGAATGGTTCCTAAAAAGACTAGCGTACACCAGAAGCACTGCGGCTATATCGATGCTGGGACACGTTCTTGGTTTAGGAGACCGACATGGGCACAACATTCTCTTGGACCACAAGACAGGGGAAGTTGTCCACATTGACTTGGGTGTTGCATTTGAGGCTGGTCGTATTCTGCCAGTACCGGAGTTGGTCCCCTTCAGACTGACAAGAGACATTGTGGATGGGATGGGGATCACCAAGACAGAAGGCGTCTTCCGGAGATGCTGCGAGTTTACGCTAGATGCTCTAAGAGAGGAGCAGTACTCGATCATGACAATCTTGGATGTGTTACGGTTTGATCCATTGTATACGTGGTCGATCTCACCACTTCGACTTGCCAAACTTCAAAAGGCGAGACACAACGACGAAACCCCAATGGACGATGAACAAAGCGAGGCAGAGACGAAGAAGGGCAAAAAGGCTGCAGGTCACGTCAATGAACCATCTGAAGCTGACCGAGCTTTAGAGATTGTGAGGAAGAAGCTTTCGAAAACGTTGAGTGTGACTGCAACAGTAAACAAGTTGATCAACCAAGCCACCGATGAGCGAAATTTGGCAGTGTTGTATTCTGGTAAGCTAATAAGATGTCACCAACTTGAGTCCACAACTAACAAACCCTTTTCCTAGGCTGGGCAGCATATGCTTAAGATGTTTGGTAGTAGCCTACTTGAGGCAGAGAGAAATGTAACACCTACCATGTAGTTAGCGACATACTGAGGACTGAATCATAATAGACGGCACAGCGAATGTAGGTATATCACATATAGCTCAAGCCAGCTCAGGACGTCAATTGCATTTCAATGTTATCAGTGTACATTTGAGGATACGGGGACCAATGAAGAATGATTTCATAAATGCTTGCTAGCACTCGGGGAAGTCCAAGCTATCAAAACGTAGATGTAAGTCGGGAGTTGCTGATACCCAATGATTACACTAAGTAAGCACTTATACTGAATTAATAAGAAGAGCTCGGAGAGTTGAACTTGATTCAGAGAAGGCTTCGATGGAGCTAGAATGCCAATCTTGTGTCCTTTCGAAGATTGCGATTACATTCTTGTCTTGTAAAATCATGTATAGCACGCAAGTTGTTGCATTGTTTTTGTCATACAAACCGATGACGCTCTTTAAGCCGGAGATAGATGGCGGTAGCTCCAGTTTCTTATCTTATCATGGACACAAGCACCTTCAATCAACATACCCACCTCATATATTATTCAGACTTGCCATCATCCCCAAGAGTATTGCCTTGACGCTTTTTCGATAGTTCATTTTCGTTTGATTCTAATCAAGAAATATTCTGATAATACACTTCCCGCCTACGTCTGCTCACGATTGAATACCGCAACCAAACACCGGACAGTCCGAGAAACCGAGGCCTGCGCGACAGCTCTTCGAACGGTTGTTCCAGGCCTCGTTCTTTTCTTGATATATCGCCTGGGTTCACTCCATGCAACCGTTGGCGTCCGAAACAACATCTCCCTCCCGGCGAAGGCCGCGGCTAGACTCATCGTCCTCAGCATCACCTCCCCTTGGCGCCTCCAAGCGAGCGCGCTTCGAAATGACCACCGCCAAAGCGCGGGGCAAGCTCCCCGAGACCATCGACCTAACGCAGCCACCTTCTGCGTTCAAGCCTTATGCTGGTTCCAAGAAGCTTGTTATCAAGAACCTGCGAGCGCCCACGAGTCGAGATACCCAGGTCGCGGAGTACTATAAACGGACGGAGAAGGAGCTCGAGGATTCCCTAGAGGCTGTCTTTGCGGGACGGACACCTGATGTCCCCTTAGAAAGGCTGTACAGGGGTGTTGAGGATGTCTGTCGAAAGGGGGATCCCGCGAAGGTGTACCAAATGCTCAAAGAGAGAATTGATGTACACTTGCAGCGGATTGTGCTACCTAGAATCCAGAAGAATGGACATGCTTCGAACCTCGATACTGTGAAGAGCGCACTAGCGGAATGGAAGACTTGGAACACACAAACAGTAGGCTGGATGTTTCTATATGGGTTTGAGATGCTAAGAATTACTTGCAGATATTGATCAGATCAACATTCAGCTACCTCGACCGAACATATTTACTACAGAAGAATCTTGCATCTATAAACGATATGGCGATCCAGCAGTTCAGAAAGATGGCATTCCCATCCCAGACTCAAGCCTATAAAACCTCCGTCGGCGTGAAGCTAATCGCAGGTGTTTGCGATTTGGTTGAGAACGATCGAAGAGGCATCGACCAAATCGAACCTGCATTACTGAAAGATTCTATCATGATGCTTTATGTTTTGGAGGTCTATATCAAGCACTTTGAGCCCTACTTTTTAGAGCAGTCTGAGAGATACTTCAAAGAATTTGGCGAAGCTTGGAGCACATCAAGTCTCAAGGACTACATTTTGGTTTGCGAGAAGTTACTGAAAAAGGAAGACTATCGCTGCATCCAATTCAACCTCGATAGTACGACAGAGAAGCAACTTATGGACTCTGCGCACACCCATCTCATCACCAACTACTCAGAAAAGCTTCTCAACGGTGGCAACCTGGCGAAGCTGCTGGCTGATAGAGAAGTTGAGTCAATGAAGGCTTTGTATGACTTGCTTCGGTTATCAGGGATCCAAAAGAAGATGAAGGATCCATGGGGCGACTACATTCGGTCAACGGGTTCGGCAATCATCAGCGACAAAGACAAGGGTGACCAAATGGTTTTGCGCTTATTAGAACTCCGTCGATCACTCGACTTGATGATTCGAGATGCTTTTCATAAGGACGAAGACTTCCTTTGGGGCATGAGGGATTCTTTTGGGAAGTTCATGAACGACCGCAAAGCTGCCTCTTGCTGGGACACGGGAACATCCAAAATCGGCGAGATGATCGCCAAATATATCGACATGCTTCTGCGAGGTGGCTTGAAGTCACTACCTAAAGAGCTTCTGTCAGATGTGAAAGATCGAGCGACAGCTGAGAAGGAAGGTCAAGCCAGCACTGGTGATGAAGATGCTGAGCTTGATAGACAGCTTGATCAGGCGCTCGAGCTGTTCCGCTTCATCGAGGGCAAGGACGCCTTCGAGGCATTTTACAAGAAAGACTTGGCTCGGAGATTGCTCATGGGACGAAGTGCCAGCCAAGATGCTGAGCGCAACATGTTAACAAAGCTTCGAGGAGAGTGCGGTGCGAATTTTACACATAATCTGGAACAGATGTTCAAGGATCAGGAACTCGCCAAGGATGAAATGGAGTCTTTCAAGCAATGGTGTCAAGGCAGTGCTGAGCGCAAGAATCCTCTGGATCTTTCCGTCATGATTTTGTCCGCTGCTGCATGGCCAACTTACCCGGATGTTCGTCTCAACCTGCCGGATGAGGTTGCTACGCAGATCGAGAGGTTTGACAAGTATTACAAGAATAAGCATACAGGACGAGCCTTGACGTGGAAGCACTCATTAGCTCACTGCTCCCTCAAGGGCATCTTCGCCAAGGGGCCGAAGGAGCTTCTTGTATCTGCATACCAGGCTGTGGTTCTGATGATGTTCAACAGCGTGCCGGCTGATGGATTCTTGGCATATGAACAGATCGCTACGGGAACCGGTCTTTCAGGCGGTGATCTTGATCGCACACTTCAGTCGCTCGCTTGCGGCAAAGCGCGAGTGCTAACCAAGCACCCGAAAGGCCGTGATGTCAAGCCCACTGATACGTTTACTTTTAACAAAACGTTTACGGATCCCAAGTACAGAGTCAAGATTAATCAGATCCAGCTGAAGGAGACAAAGGAGGAGAACAAGGCTACACATGAAAGGATCGCTCAGGACCGACGCTTTGAGACACAGGCAGCCATCGTTAGAATAATGAAAAGTCGCAAGAGCATGGGTCACAGTGACCTAGTGGCAGAGGTTATCAACCTGACGAAGAAAAGAGGTAGTGTTGAGCCGGCGGCGATTAAGAAGGAGATCGAAAGGTATGTGATACAATACGTTAATGATACTGTCTGGAGGTGGCTAACGCTAGATGCAGTCTTATTGAGAAGGATTACATCGAAAGAGAGGGCAATTCCTACGTGTATCTGGCATAAGGCTTGGATAGTAATGGAGATTGGTGAGGCAAGGCTATCAGGCTCAACGCTGAAGACGGCAGTAGAAGGGTTTATAGGTACAAGGCAACTACATGCTACAACGACACAGACATGTATGTACCTATACCAATGAATTTGATTTTTATATCAGAATATGACTCCACCTCGGAGCAAACGACGGAAGCCGGGAATCGAACATCGAACAAAAAGAAACGAAGCAAGGGGGGACCATAGGCGGCAAGGTAAGTAATAGTTGAGTAACATATTGTTAACTGACTGAGCTACTTCGCTGAATGAGTAGACAACTACTTTGATATATAATCAGGTGGTTCATGTCTGCAAGAAGCCGATGATTGGTGGGAATGGTGCGTTGGGGTTGATGGGGCGTGGGTGCCTAGAGGGCTGAAGTGATATCCTTACTGTTTGCGAGCTTCACCAGTTCTCCCAAGCTTCTTCAAACTACTCTGAGCTTAAGTGATTTTCATATGAGACAGCTTTGGTTTCCAGACGTGGAAAAACGTCAATGGGTTGGGTATATAGACTCTCTAATTGTAAAGAAATCTTGAGATGGAAATATGCCTATATCTATAGCATTTTTGCAGGATCAAAGTCAACTAGGGGCAGAATTAAAGCTTAAAATTACAACTGTAACAGCAATATCAATTAAGAAAGTCTTGCGAGAGTAGTAAATTCCAGAACCGATTTCTTCACTGAGTCAACAGCCAGTGGCAGGGACTACGAGTAGGATAAGTTTGAACTGTCAGTGTTTTAACACCTTTAAAGCAAAAACGAACTAAGTGATTGCGGTGGAGGTATAATGCTGGGTTTCTCAATACGGCTTGAGAAATTAAAACCTGCCTTTGAATACCCTAGGAGGTCGAGAATGATAACCACAATGCATCTCCTTACAAGCTCCAAGTCACGATGGAACTTGTAGCCTGACATGCAATGACCTGCGTCTCTGTATGAGCCCGTATATTTGTCAATATTCAGAGCCAAGGGGCTTCAAGGGCCCTGGACAACATGACGATGCTGCATTGTTCCGTGCCGTTGCCAGATCTGAAGGCTATTTGATATCTTAACATGGTGGGAGAGGAGGAACAGGACTATCATCAATCCCAGCAGATTGCTATGGATGGCGGGGAAGTGAAAATCGAAGAGCAAGTATGGTTTACCAGTGCGAATCTATTATGACGAATCTTTACTGGCACAATGAGCTGTGCTCTTTGAAACAGACGAGTTACATAAGAGGATCAACACTGATGGATGTATCGCAATCGCGATATAGAGGATTTCTGGTATTTCTAGATTTATTATTCTGCAATAAGACGAGAATACTCGAAATTCTTTCGATCTTTTCCCCTGCTCTGAACAGACGTGCTCTCTCAGTTGCTGACTTGAGCAACTCGTTAGAGGTGCCTCATCGATCCACGGCACCAACGCCTCGGAAGAGCAACAGGTGCGCTTTTAAAACTGGAAAAACAGATTGGAAATAGAAACAGAGTCATGGAAGTGGTATTCGTGGCTTCTTGGGAAGAAGACAGGACCAACGCGTTCTGTTGGGCTGACGAATTCGGCCTCGAAGGAGAACGACAAGGCAATTGTGAGGCAGAAGGTTGAAAAGGCCACCCTGAGACTCACCGACGGCATTGAAAGGAATAAGAAGGGGAGTCTAGACTTGACACAGCATTCTCCTGGCATGTCACCAGTCATACAATGCTCTGGAGACAACAAGTTTTGGTATTTATTTCGGCCTCCAGACAAACATATAGTAATTGCAGGCGTAGTGGCCCCATGGGACATTGGGAAGACATTGTACCACTCAAGATCTTGGTGCTTTACATCAGGCGTGTTTGAGACAATATGCCGGCATTGCCTGAATCTCTACCGACTAGTCACCTTCTGGAATGACCAACAAGGGTACGGAGATCTTGGATGATGTACGTGTACTGATGCTCTGATTCCTAGGGATGCATTCTGAAGGCAAATGATGTTGTCGGCCATTGACGAATGTCGCTGGCGTAAACCAATAACCAAGACTTGCACTCGGATTAACAAAAAGAGTAGTCGGTCGCCCTCAGACCAAGAAAAAAGAAAAAGCAAAGTAATCGACCCCTCACGAGGCATCCACAAGGCAGCCATGTTCGGGCGCCCGGCCAGAGTTAGCAGACATGAATTGAGGGTGTGAAGGAGAAGCGCCTCGAGTATTCCGTCACAGAAGATATAACAGACACGCCCGTTCTGAGTTGAATTCTCATGGAACTCGGGCATGTCTCAGTGTAACCTCAGTTGACAGGCGGCCAGTTGCCTGATCATCCACGTTTGTATCGCCGTCGGGAAGAATTGATATATTGAAACCTCTTGACAGGTCACACGGCCACGCGGTAGACACGCCTTTGTACTATCGCCAACTGTATTATGTGTTGCCGTGCCGTGCTATGCTATGCTGTGCTGTGCTTTGCTGTCTCGGATCAAGACTGATAAAACCCGTATTCATGTCTCAGAATTTATACACAATTCATAACGACTAAAACATGAAACATGTTCACTTTCGCCTCATTTTGTTGTCGCATTCCATCTCGACGTATAGAAACTCATAGAGGCCATCCATCATCAACAGCCTGCGCCGCACATGCACCTCTAGACTGGGTCATTCTACCTCCGCATCATAATATGTTCGACATACTCACATAGAGCTGCAACAGAACTAGGGCGCTTTTCGAACAAGCTGCTGACTATATCGTGCATAAGATGGGATGGGCCGTGACGCGGTGTAAATGGATTGCGTTACCACCATCTGCACTCTGGACACTCTCACTTCCAAGGCAATCAAGGTTGATTGAGTCATTATGCTTCAGTCTCACTTTATTCGCATTTTCAACCATGTTAATCCTAACTGCCGCTGACTTGGCGAGCCAACAGACGAAGCGTCGTATCTAGAACCGTAATCCGCACTTTAGCACGACTCTCTGTCTGCCTTGCGAGAGATGGTAATCAATGACCATATCAACCAAATATGCACATCATTCAGCTCACTACTGTACATTCTCTGCAATCACTTGCATACCCGACCTTCCCGTGAAGCTATTCCTTAGTGCAAGTCTCAACTTGTTTCACCGATTCCTCGATATGTCCAACCCGGACCTGTCGGTCTGACTTTCGTGCCATGGCGGACAAGGCCTAATTCCACGATAGACTACACATCTCGATTGTGGCGATGCGCTGCGTCTGTGTCTGTCCTCTCGTCCTCAGTAGCACAAGCTTCGGACATATCGAACGACATCAACACCCAACGAGTTCGTGGTGATTTTTTTAGTCCAGCCATGGTGTATCCGAGGCAATTATCTGATTCAACAGCACAGCAATGCAGGGCCTCTTTGAACTCGAACAAATGGTTACGCAGCGTAAAAGATCTCCAGATCATCGTGTTAAACTCTCACCGGGCGACCGAGGGCCGCAGAGTAACACACCCAGACACTTAGTCATAGTGAATAGCATATCATAGCTAGCACGGGATGCTGTATCTTAGAAACGGCGATCGTATTCCTGCATATCTGGGCGCTGACAGAACGGGCTGTCGGTGTCGGGTCACAAATCGTCTCAGGCCAGCCTCTCGGCAACTTGCCTCATCGTCCATCGTCGGTCGCCATATCGAGACAACATGCGGTAACACATAATGGAGGCGCCGGTTGAAAGGACTATCTTGAGTCGTTGGATTCTGCCGATTGCCTGATGCAAGTCAGTCTGGCCGCATCGACCAGGCGAACGATGCCGTATCTCAGCAGAGGTCGGCAAGGAATGCATTTGCCGATTACCTAGTTCACTTCGGCTGAGAGTCCTATTGTAGGCTTATTCATGATATCGCAATCAATGTGCGTAGTTGACTTGCGCCAGGCGGTTGTGCTGTTGGTGGAGGTTAACGGGCGAACCGCCAACTCGAGCGCAGAACAACCAATGTATGGTTCGCCTTTAACAACAACCTTCAGTTTCTCAGTAACACAAACCCGACTTTCATCATCAAGAGTATTCATCACTGCCGTACTGTGTCGGGATACCAGATCAAGCAACCAATGCCAATACGTACTTATCTTGAGCAATGGATATTCAGGCTCAAATAGACCCTCACTCGCCCTGTGAGTTACCCACGGAGATCCAGAGACACTCCCAATTCAGCTCGAACAAACAGTTATTCATTTCCTCATCTTTACAAGCAAAGAAAGCTTTCTCCAACTGCTTGACACACCTGCCTCAGCAAGGCTGTACTGCGCCCTTCCTTGGTCTTCAACCTTCCATCCGCCCCCCCATCTTCTTACTAGGACGCATCCCTTTGCTATCTCGCCAGCCTCACTTTTTATTTTGCACAAGTCTTTGGACGCAGGAGCTTTCGAATCGCCCCCAAGCTGCGCCCACCCAAGCTCTCCATCTCCAGTCGTATATATCATAGCCCTATTCTTCCTCTCAATCGTATCAATCCCAGAATTGGAATTCCCCATTCACCTGACAAATACCAATCACACTATGGCTGGTTTTCCTCCTGTCGGGGCTATGCCTCAAAATATCCCAGCACCAATGCATCATACTCAAGCTCCCCAAACACGACCTTCAATGCCCCAGCAGAACGGAGCCCCCGCAGGACTTCCTGCATTCATGCCTGCCAACACCCGGCCCTATAGCCATCCTCCCGACCCTCCCATGTATCTGCGGCGGCAAGATCCTGCTGAGATCAAGAATGCCCGAAGCGGGGAGCCTCCTATGTACAGAGCTCTCCGCCTCGAAAAGACCCCTGGTGCCTCCAGTGGTGGCAAGGCACGGGATACAGAATATGACTGGGAGACCATCACTCGTACAGACAAGAATATGTCCCAATCAAGGATCAAGGAGAGGATCGAGCACTTAGATAAAACCACAAGATCTGTCTCAAAGAAGAAGCAAGACAAGAACGAGACTATCCAGCTCCAGCTCGACAGGGCTCAAGCTGATCTGACCAAAGAGGACCGTGACTTCCGGTTCTACTACAAGTTGGCCCAGATCGAATCAGAATGGCGGGCGGCAGATGATCCCAGACACCGGGATGACAGAAGTGTACGAAGCTCCAGAAAGCATAGAAGCCACTCGAAGCGGAGCAAATCTCCTAGGCTCGAGAGAGTGGCAATCAATGCATATTTCCAGAGGATGCCCGCCGGTGGTCGGCATAGCTCCAGAACTCTCGATACACATGGATCGATGAGACAGCCAAGGCAAATCCAACAAACACCTGCCCAACCACGAATGGGAGGGTTACCCTCTGTTACCCTTCCCCAAGGATTTGTGCCCCCTCCTCCTACTGCTGCTCCTGCTGTTGCAGCCCCTGTCAGACCAGCGCCTCCTCCAGCGACTGATCCAAGATTGAACGGTCAACTCAGGCCTCCTATGGGGGAACAAAACGTTCCTCGTATGCCCCAAGCCCACTCCCCTCGACAAGGTCCGTTCAACAACGCACAGCAAAGTGGCATGCCACCTGGAGAGCCAGGAAATGCGGTCCCTCATAATGCAGGTGTCGTAGCACCAGCACCAGCACCAGCACCAGCACAAGGACAAGTTCCAGCTCGACCACCCTCAAGACTACCAGCGATCAATATCCCCATCGACCGACCACCACATGGGCCATTGCCAGGGGCGAAGGCTCCTCCACAGATGCCATCATCAGGTCCCGGTGCACCCAAGACTCCATTTGAGGCAGGCAATCGCTCACCAAAGAAAACGGCGCCAGAGCCAGGGTTCAATATTGAAGAAAAAGTCAAGGTTTATCATAGCTCAGGCCGAAGTTCCTCGCCATCTGATGGTGACGGTGACGAGTGGTCAGAAGATGAAAGCGAGGACACAAGGCCGTCGTCCATTGGTTCCGGTAGCAGCCCGCAACGGGGTCGAGGGCGTAGCCCGAACCCGAAGCGTATGCCTTCCGATCATCACGAAAACATCATCATCCAGGATCCTCGCAACCTCAGAAAGGATGCCGAATATATGGCTAATGACCGCTCCTCTCGACATTCTGATCGGCAGCATGTGCGTTTCAATTCCCCCGGCCGTCGCTGCCGTGACGAAAGTTGCTCGCCTGGAGGCGAATATCATTCTCCCCGAGAACAGCCATGGAAAGGAGAGCCGCCACGAATTATCCAGGCAGCAAGACTTAGCGTCCGTCATGTGCGCGGCACTGCGCCCCGACGAGATGATTCTTATGATATCAGACCTAGTCGCACCGACAAGCCGCTTGAGCGAGCAAGATTAGATGACGGCCATCGTGAGCGTGACGTTCGAAGAGACAATGATCGCTTCAAGCATCTTGAAGAGGATCTTCGACGGCGCCGTGAATTTAAGGAGAGGCGAGAAGATCGAAGGCCCGACGACTACAAGTACGTTGACCCTGAACCTCGCTGGAGTGATCGACGGGCTCGAGAGTATATGAGCCACAGGGAGCCACGTTATTCACGGCAGCATCATGAAGATCGTGAGGCTTATAGGAGATACAGTGACCGACGAGACTGACAGCATGAGTCGGCAGTCTTCTTTGATGCAATTACTGTGCTTTTACGTAATGTTTGAATAGGATCAGTTCTTTTTACTGACATATGGAATGGATTATATGACGCTGAGGTTTGGGAATGGCGTTTTTATCGTTTCAAACGGATGAAGCTGAGTTGATAATTCGAAATCACACTTATCTTGGAGCAAAACATGAATATTATAATGTCAAACATTTTCAGTGCTAATAATTAAAATTGTGCATATGGTTCATTATGCCTTGGTTTTAACATAAAACTTGAGTTGTATGCAGGAACGGCAATTATAGACCACGTGACTAAGCGAATGCCGGTAGTGCGTTAAGTGAGGGGTGTCGCGCCTGGAACGCGTCGGGCAGATACCGTACTCATGTGAAGACTTCATTCGTCGTACCTGACTGACCAGGTTCGGGGCCGAGACGCGTCCTTAAGGTATCTTGCAGTAAATCACAATCTGCTCCTACCTAATATGACAGGACCGTGGGGTACTTCGTCAATAATCTCGTCTTCGTCCAATTGAGCCTTGCAGCTTCCTGCCTCATTTTTTTCATTCTCCCCTCCTCCCTCGTTTTCCTACCTGCATAACCTTCAGCTGTCGCCACCTCGCGATATTTTATGAAGGTTGGTATCAATCACCTTC